GGGTAGCAGGAGGGCCCCGCGGCTGCCCCCCCCCCGAGCCTCCCCAGCCCTGCATGAGCAGTGCCCCACAAAGGTACATCGGCATCCCGGCACTCGTCCCCCTTCTCCCTCCACCACCATTAAAGTGCAGCAGGGAGAGGGGGGAGAGGGGCTGGCTCCCACCCAGACCACCCCAGCACTCGCCTGCTCTTGGCCTTCCCCTGCGGGCTGCAAAATGTGAGGCCCCCACACCCATGGCGTGATCCAGCTCCCTCATCCCCAGGGAGCTACATGGTGGCCCTGAGGACCAGCAAGATAAGGTCTCTCACCACCATGGCTCCCAGCAACCTCACACACGCGGCCCCAGAGGCACATCCTGGGGCAAAACACTCCCCAAGAGCTACCTGATACGAGGGGGTTGGGGCTGAATTACAATCTGGTGGGTGCCAGGAGGAACAGCATGTCCACGCTGAGCCCACGTGTCCTTAGGCAGGCAGGGCAGACAGGAGGAAGAAGGGATGCCGCTGGTCCCACACACCCCAGGAGAGATGTGCATCTCTTACGGGACTGTGGAGACGCTGCATTCCTTCTTCCCCCACCCCAGGTACGAGCCATTCACAAGAGAAAAACCCAGAAGGACTCAGCAAGGGCTCCACAGCAGGTTCAGGAGCCTGCAGACGGCCCCCAGAGAGCCCAGCTCAGCTCTTGTTCTCAGCCACAACCCCCTCGTCTGGGTTCCCGCTCCTCTCAATATATTATTACTATTATGTGCAAGTAGTTTTGCATCAGAAAACCCCGAGCCCTCCTCTCTCCCCCTGCAGCTCCAAGCCCCATGTCCGCCCCTCAGCCCTGCTTGTGCCTCAAAATGTTCCTCCAGCCCCGGGGTGTCGTGGAGAGCAAAGCGTGAGGGTAGCTATTAGACAGGAAAGACTCCACCACCCCCCTCCCTCCCCAAACCCCGGCCCTCTCCCTCGCACACACCCCCTGCCCGCGCCACCGGCTGCAAGGACAGTCCGCAAGGGCCAGGTCACTCGTCGCCCTCCTCCTCATGATGGTGGTGACTGGAGGCAGGAGGTTCTTCCACCTCCTGTTGGTGGTGGCCATAGTGATGGGGACTGGGACCTTCAGCGGGCATGTTCTCCTCTGCATTCAGGTAGACGTTGAACAGGGCTCCCTCATGGCTCGGCTCCTTCCCGCAAGCCTGGCAGCTACAGTGAAGTATCTTCTCCACCAGCTTGTCAACCCTGGGGATCTCGTCGTTGCCTGGACAGTCCAGCGTCACCTGAGTAGAAGGACGAGGACGCAGTGAACTTACAGGCTCAACGCCCGGAGGGCCAGCCTGCTGCAGGTGGTCTGACCTGCCCTGTGCCCTGCGGAGTTGCCCCGTGCCCTGCGGAGTTGGGGCATTTTAAGCCAGAAGCGATGGCTCGCTGCCCATACAGACAAACCTCCACAGCCAGTCTGCAAGGCAAGAGTTCTCTGGGAATGTCTCACAAGGTCACAAACTGCAGAGACCCGGGGAAAATGCACCAACTCAAGCAGGACACTGCTCCCAGGCACTACTGGCACAGCAATATTGGTGGTAACTGCAAAGGCCACCCACAAGAGTTGTTGCTGAGCATCTCAAGATAGTTTGGACTAAACCATCGGCCCAAATGTCTGAGTTGAAAGCAAAGCAGAGAGCTGAACCCAGCTCCCTGGGGGCCTAGGCCTGCCTCAGAGGCCAGGTTTGTGGCTCTGCCAGGATCAATGGTGGCACGAAATGGTGAGGTGTGAGGGTGACTGGCAGATGGGCTGTGGGAAGCACTTCTGGACATGGAAGAAGGCAAAAACTCCCAAGTGGGAGGAGGCGACAAACGGAGTGGTGAAGAGAACAGGCACGCGGGATGAGCACAGGGATGAATAATGCAGGGACTGACGGGGGATGCTTCTGCAAACAGAGTGATAAATGCATCGTTCACCACAGCAGTCACGTTGCTTCCAGCAGCCGCTTCCACCCTGGCATCTCAAGACAGGGTACAGTCACCCGAGAGACACCCTGGAAGGAAACTACGAGTGGGAAAACTTCAGGGAAGGAGAATGACTTGCCCTGAAGTGGTGGCAGAGCAGAGCTGAGAGCCCCTGAGCGAGGCCCTGCAGAAAGAACCGTGGAGCAGGCAGGGATACTCACGATTTCCCACATGGACTGGGCTGGCATGCAGGAGTCGCAGTGAACCAGGGACTCTGTGGACTGAGGGAAGGTGTTGGGGACGCTGTAGCTGAAACACTGTCCCAGACAGGCCCTGCAAAGACAACAGGAGGGATGAGGGCTCAGGGGAGGTGCCTGCTCTTCCCAGAAAAGGCAGAAGGAGATTTGACCTTCCACTGAGACAGAGAGAAGGCAGCCAGGCAGAGGCAGGACACTGTGCCTGGCTTCTTGTGCGAGTGACAGTCCCCAGCGCCACCCCGGTGCCATTCACAAATGGCCATCAGCTGCATCCAGCTCTGCACTGAGGGCGGATCCGTACCTGTTCTGGATGGACTTGGACTCACAGCCGCTGTGCCCCACAATCTGGGTGATGTTCTTTGCCTCGCACCAAGCGCTCTTGTCTGGGAAGAGGGCGAGCTTGTTTATGGGGGGCGGTGCAGCCAGGAGCAGCGCTGGGAAAAGGGCACCAACCACAAACCGTAACATCATGGCCAGCTCTGCCAAAATCCTACAACTGGAGGCAGAGAGCGAAGCGTTAGGAGGAAAGACAACAGGGAAGCTGGCCCATTTCTCCAACCCCATGGCAGTTCTTTGGCTGCAATAAGCACAGGCACGTCCTCCCAGTGTGTTGGTACTCATGTTGGTACTCCACAGCCAGGGAGGCTCCACAAAACACCGCACGGGGAGTGGGACATGCTGCCCTGCCTCTTCCCTGTGCCAAACCAGCTCTGGGGCAGACAGACACCTGCATTACTTCTCCCGAGCTTTGTGCCAGGAGCAACAGCAGGCTTTTCATCATTTCCCACCCAAAGCTGGGCTGGGAGAAGTTTGCAAAACAAAAGCATCACCACCACGGGCTGAGCCAGGCTGGAGAAGTCATGGACCTCACAAATGTTTTTATTTGAGGAAGGAGCAGACTTCCCCACTTCCTTTTCTCCCACCTGAAAAGCCAGAGCTGGCCTTGCTGCCAGCCTTCCCAGGGAAAAGGGACTGCTTTCCCGGGAGAGAAAACCCCTCTGCTCCTAGAAGTGCGCAGCAGGTGTCGCTGCAAGGCAGCAGCAAGCAGGGAGAGGTGGAAACCTCAATTCAGAGGCAAGAAACCAGCACGGAACGACCAATACGGCGTTTATTTTTATAGAGCCACTCAAGATTCAGCAAACGGTTACTCTGAGGACGGGAACTCAGTCTGCAGACAAGGGGGGCTGCTTTTAATACCAAGCAGAGCCCTGGCTCGCCAAGGTGGTCGGCCGAGAAGGTTACTTACCACCCCCAGAGAAATCCCACGCAGGGTTTCCTTGCAGGCCAGCTGTACTCTGGAGCCAAGGTGCCTGCATTAACACTCCCAATCACTGGGGAAAGGCAGATGGAAAAGCATCATAGAAACAGGGAAATTTTTTCCTTTGTGGGGTTTGGATGGAGTCATAGTGAAAGGCAGACATTTATACTTTCTAAAATATTTGCTAGAACCATGTTATTTGTTATTTCCTTCTATTTATTTATCCAGACCAAGATCCAAAGCCCACACTGGAAAGACTCCTGTTGATTCCCATGGCTCCTGGGCCCAGCCCTCTAACACTTGCTGGGGAAGGAGAGGAAAAATGCCTTGTTTATCAGACGCGGGTGTCAGAGGCAGCTCTGCGCTGGGGACTCCCAGCTGGGCGTTCCCCCGGTCACTCAGTCTATCTGCACAGTCCTCACCAACACATCCTCGGCTGGAGGACCACCGTGTTTATCTAAATGATTGAGGTGGCCTACTAAGCACCTCTCACAGCGCCAGCTCAGGTGTTTTAAGGTCATTACAGGGCAGAGGGTTTTGCCCTGTTATCCCTTCACTGAGCCCAACCTCCTGGATCCGAATCATGAGAGAGACGAGACAGAGATGCTTCCCCATCCTCCATCCCAAGGCAGCCAGGAAAAGGGCATCCTCATTCCCTGGCCCCAGGATCTCTGAAGGAATCAGGTGGGGTCTCTGCTAAATTTTCTTATTTCCTGGTGATACAAGAACTATAATGGTATAACACAGCAACACCTTTATAGCCCTGGCTTCCTAATCCTCCCAGCGCTTGTTCATGCGAATCCCACGGGCACCTGGTGAGAATACCTGCACAAAGCGGGGTTTGCAGGTCTTGGTTTGAGATAAGCAGAGGGTTTTAGCCCCTGAACTTGCACTGCCATTAATGAGAGCAGTGTGGTTAAATACATTTGTCCCGAAGACAACTCTTAGGGCTTACTTCTGCTCCCTGGTGGTTTGGGTTTTTTTTTCCCATTTCAGTGGGCAAATTCTGCAATTTCTGCTAAGAAGAACACAGCTAAGCTGCACACACACACAACTTGGTTTGCTTGGTTTTCTGAAAGGAGCATCGCTCATTCCTCAAATGCCAGCAGCTCCACGCTGAGGAATCCTGCTCCCAAAGGCAAGTCCGAGATCAGAGCTAGGATGTGACCCAAACAGCAATCACAACTCCCCATGGAACAGCCGAAATTCCTCTGGAGTCTGCATGCAAGTTCACTTCCACATGCCCGATTAGAGAGCAATTTCCTTCTTTCCAAAGAAAGGTGGTGGCTGTTTTTTTTCCAGGTTTCTATGCATCTCTACCCAGCAGCAAAGAGGCAAACATTTCTGTCTGCGCTGACAGCCCTGCTTCCCTGGGACCTTTTTTTTATTAGAGCGAGGTGTTTCTGCAGTGCTGGTCAGAGCAAACGCATTGCCAGAGGCATGAAGGATCATCTCCGAGCATCTGGGCTCCTGTCTCACTCCGATACGGAGAGGAAGATGAGTGAGGTTGTGCTCTGCTAAAGCACAGGACCTGGCCTGGATTCAGGAAAGCACTTAAACACATGCTTAAGCCCTCTCCTTTCCTGAGCAGGGATGTCTTTGTAACCAGGGCCCCTAGCAGCACGGCCGCTGGTCCCCTTTGCAGAGGGGCAGCCGGCGAGCAGGGGAACAGGGTCCCTCTATGGAGCTGGAGCAATTGCAGCTTTGCCCCATTCTTCAGGGCACTGCTGCCCGAGCACTGCTATCCCCCACTGATTTTAAGCCTTGAACAGGCCACATCCACATGGTGTTTGCCTTCTCTCAAGAATGCCCTGGAACCCGCAGAGCCACATTTCTAGTAAGCAACAAGGTTTATGCCAGTGCCTAGGAAAACATCTGATGCAGCTGAGTTTGGGAGGGAGCTGGGGCTGGAAACAGCCTGCTCGCAACCGCGGCATGTTCGCTGGCATAGTTCAAGCCAGTCATGCGAACAGAGCTGCCACTAAAACCATTCATCTGACAGCAGCCACAGGGTCGGAGACAAAAGCACCGTGTTCCTTCTCCCCCCCCGGCTGGGAAGGGGAGGGAAAAAGGAAGACAAGGCACCCGAGCAGGTTTGTAAACTCACGATTAAATAAAGGCATTGAGCACATTCCTCCATGACAAGCTAAATTACATGTTGCAGCTCCTAAAGGAACAAGTGTGTGCTCCCGGCGCTGACCCCGGCCCTGGCCTGCCGGAGGGGGCAAGCACTTCCCCGCACACAGGGGCTTCTTTCTCTTCTCCGCACCGGGGCACATTTTTTTTCCTGCTAGTCAAAGCTTTTCAAGCAGAAAGTTCAGCTCAGTTCCGGCAGACCCATCAGCCCATGAGGGTCTCCCCCCTCTCCCTCTGCAGGGAACCACACAGCAGCTTCCTCCGCCATCCCTTCATCATGCATTTGAGAAATCAAATGACTCAGCCCTTGAGCCTGGCACATCCCAGACTCCAAAGACAAACAACTCCTCAGCACACGCACAGCTGCAGCCTTGTGGTGAGCGGCCCCAGAGCCCTTTTCCAGCCTGTCCCCACGCCCAGGGAGCTGGGGGACAAGATATCCAGGGCTGATGGGTCTCAGCTGTACCAGCTCAGCAGCCCTTCAAGGCCCGGAGAGCCTGGCAGGAGTCCGGCCGACGGCTGAGCCTCCCATGAGCCCGGTTTTGAGATCTGGTGGTAGCACGCTCAGATGTTTCATGTCACCTAGAAGAGTTCCTTCCTCCCATCCCAGCAGTCCCGGGGACTCTCAGGAGTCCGGCAAGCAGGACAGTCCCCGCCAACGCCTGGAAGCAGCTGGGAAAATCTACATCGTTACATCGGCTGGAGGACAATCACGGGAATTACCTCGGAGGCCACGTTCCCACCATCCAGCCCACAGCTGTTCCTGGCCATTTGGAAACCAAACACTTCTGGAGGAAAATAAAAAAGATCTAATCAGTTTTACCCTCTTTTTCCAGTGGGAAGTTTACACCATAATACAAGACGAGCCTGCAGGTGGACATGGGGAACATTTCATGAGTAGTTTAATATATTTATAGGTATTTTTCTTAGCCAGGATCTTGCAATTTTGCCAAACACATAAAAACACAGACACAGGTATATTGTGCTCATGGCCACACATGCAGCATCCCAGGTTGCAAGAGACAAGAAACCCCTAAGCCTTACAAACATTGCTTAGCCCAGGCTCAAAGCCTGCGAATACAGCAGTGTCAGCTCCACGCTGTAGCTAAGGAAAATGAGGTACGAAGCTGGGAAACGGCCTCACCTCAGTGCCTAAGTCAGTGATTCACGTCCTTGTGTGAGATGCATGAGATCTCAGGGAGATGGACAAGGCGAAGGTTTCAGCTCCTGGTCCGGATCAGAGCTGGGAGGAGCCACGGCCCTCCTGCCTGACAGAGCCGGCTTCCCACCCAGCCTGGCTCCCAAGCGACACCACACCAAGCTGCCAAGAGCAACCCCAGGTTGGTGTTAGACATGAATCACAGCAGTACCAGGTCTTGCTTTTGTGTTCAACTAATTATTTGTGCCATTTTGCTGAGAAAAGATGCTGCATGGTGCTGCCGGGAGAAAAGGAAGCCCCAAAGATGTGCTGCTGAGCGCACTGCTCCGTGCCTCGGTTTCCCTGCTTGTAAGACCAGAGACAGGGGAGCACCGTACGCCGAGTGAGCTGCTGGGTGCAGAGAGAGTGGGAAAGCACGGGGAGGTCTTTGGAGAGCCTGACTTCCTTCGAGGGAAGAGGCTGCCCGGGGCGGGAGGGGAGGGATGGCTGCCAACAGGCCTTGCCCCACACGATGCGGCGCGCGCTCCTCGACGGCAAGGTGCTCGGGGGAAACGCCGGGCAGGCAGGAGTCAGGCCGGGACATCGCTGTGGGGTGGGGGAGTCGTGCAAGGACACCGAGCTTGGCGTCACTGCCTGAAGAAGAGAAAGCTCTCCAAGGATCTTGGGTGGGATCGCTCCTGTGCGCGGAGGTGGCTGTAAACGCTGAAAGGCAACCGATTATTTAGGCACCTAAAAGGCAGCAAAGCCACAGTAAGAGTCTGATTTGGTGGCAACCAGAAAGAAACATGTACCTGTCCCAGAAAGATCCAGGGCATGGGTCTCCTTAGACACAGAATTTTGTCTATATGGTAACTTCTGAATACTACAGGGAATTGCCTCTTAGGAATCTCCACTCAAATAATATTTGCTTACATGGAACAAAAAACATTGTAAACCAGCATTATTAGTAGGAAAAGTTTAAACCTAAACTGCAAAGACCTGAAAAGTCACTGTGGACTGACAAAAAGAAATCAAAACAACTGATTTTATTCAATACTTCCCCCTGTTTTGAAATTTGCATTTAGCTAAAACTTTACACTTTTCAATTTGGTTGCAAAAAATACAAAGTACAACATTATTCTGGGGACTCTACTGTTGTGCCTGCAATAGCCTAAATTCATCTGATGGATGTCACGACAGTATCGCCAGGGGAGAGGGAAGAGAACCATGCACTGAAAATGTCTAGAGGCAACTCTTCAGGACAGCAGGACAGATGAGTGCCTAACTGAACACAGAAGTCTCCTCCGAGCTGAGAGCTTCAGTCTTGCTTTGCTGACCTGCAAAATCTGGGAAGAAACTACAAAAAAAATAAAAAGGGAACTACCATAGGAAGAAGTTTGATATTTAACATGCACAAGAATCAATCCTAAAACCCTT